GTGTTAACAAAATGAATATCATACTTTGCTCCTGTTTGTTTTGACCAAGATCTTGTGAAAAGGTTAAGAGTGAAATTCATGTCCTTGTTTATTGCCAAACTGACAACTATGCTGGCAGTCAGTACATCATCCACTGTTTTTCAGGATTTGCTAGCAGGCTTGACAAAACTGAGCAGGTACAAAAAAATATTTACGAGTTCCCAGGACACACAAGGGACTATTTTCAGCAAAACTGTATTAGCTGCCCCACATTCAAGGGCTCCCTCTTTCCAGGATCAGTCAGTGTCTCCTTACCATCACAGCTCAAACGTGTCCACAGTCACTGCACTTTCCAAAGACAGATCACAAAAGGTGATTCTTTGACTGTCCCCCCAAGCACATAATAGATGAAAACCACAGGTAGCTGTACTGAAGAACACAGTGGGCTCATGTAGAAGCAGGTTCAAGGGGCCTGCCCTATAGACCCTGCTGCAGAGCATTAGAGGAAATGTCAGCGGCTTGAGTGTGCAAGGCAGAGTTAGAGAATCTGCCACAAGTCTTTTCTCCTACACTCAGCCACAAACCCAACCTGACCATTTCACTGGCTCTCTCTCACTGGGTGTGACTTCTCCCACTTGGCCACATGACACACAGCCTTACTGAATCTTCAGATCTCTGTCCTCTCATACATCTGAGTACCCCCCTGGCAGCCACACTGGAACTCCTTCAGATTTCACACTCACTGGGAAGACCCTGCTGTGAAACCAGCACCGAGGCTTTGTGTCTCATCATATTCAACAACAAAAGTAAAATTAAAGGGCAGACGTCCAGTGGACTTTGCTTTCTTAGCATTTTTCCATTATAAGAGGAGACAGATGTCTGTGATCACATGGCAGGACAGGCCTGCTTTAGTGCTTATCAAAGAAGAAATAAACAAGCCCATGACATGAAAGTCACTACAATGGTGACTTCCAGCTCACACACAGTGATCTCACCTCAAACCCACCTGTAGCAAAACAGCTGAGCAATATCCTCGGCATAAAAACAATTCTTTTACAGAAATAAATCTCAAAATCAATGTCCTATTGATGAGAAAAATTGTAATTCATAGATCCCAGGATAAGATTTTCCCAGGATAAGATTAAACTTAAAAACTTAAGAGAAAATAAACTCGTGTGAATACTCCTTATAAAAATGTTCAAAATTTGTCCCTCTCCGGCATGCAAATATGTCCATTCCTACTTTTTTTTTTTTTTGCGGTACTAGGGTTTGAACTCAGGACCTACACATTGAGCCACTCCACCATTCCTTTTTTCTGTTGGGTTTTGTCAAGATAGGGTCTTGCAAACTGTTTCCCCAGGCTGGCTTTGAACTATGATCCTCCTGATCTCTGCCTCCTAAGTAGTTAGGATTACAGGTGTGAGCCACGGGTGCCTATCACCATTCCTAACTTATAACACAACACCTTTCCTATAAGAAACACGTTTCTTATAGGAAACGTGAGTCAGATCCCAATTTTTGCTTTGAAATTTTAAGTGAACAAATACATGGCAGATGATAAGAGACTCTCAAAGATTAATGAAAGTTGAGGGTACAGGCAGATGAGTATTTATATACTTGTACGACCCTTTCCAAACCATTTAGACTGACAAGTAGAAAGTTATACTAAGAGTTAAATCATTTTTAATTCAAATCAGCTCATATTCTTGCTACAGAAATCATGCACTTGTTCAATTTTAATAGCGGTATATTAGCCAGTTTTCCATCACTGTAATGAAATACCTGAGATAATTTAAGTTTATTTTTCTCACAGTTTTACAAGTTCCAGTCCAAGGCTGGAAGGAACCACTGCCTTGGGCAGTATGCTGAATGGCAATGGTGGGAAGCACCAGTCAGAACAAACTGCTTACTTCATGGCTAGAAAGCAAATTAAGAAAAAAAGGAAGATGCTGAAGTCCCCCCATCAGGACATATCCCCAGTGACCTAAAGACCTCTCACTAGGTCCCAACTCCTGAAGGTTCCAGCATTTCCTAAAAAGCACCACTCTAGGGACAAAGACTTTGGAAGGCATTCAACACCCAAACTATAACAAGCAGACAATTGTAGCTCAGGTTCAGAGGGCAAGTCTGAGCTGCAGACATTAACTTGGTTGTCTAGGATGGAGCATGCAACAGGGACTGTGTGGAACAGAGACCCTGATGAGCTTCACCAGGGCGAGAAGGTGGAAGGGTGACTGGAAGGAAAAGACATGGAGGAGGAGGTTGCAGATCAAGATACAGCTGCAAATGGGGCAAAGAGAAGTTGGAAGGAACCTGGGGAGGGAACTAAAGAGAATGTGAGAAGGTTACTGCTAGCTTTCTTGGACATTTACATTCTGATGAGCAAGACACAGGCACAGATGGAGAAGTTAAAGATGCAAGATGTGGGAGGGGAGGATTCAGAGCACAGGGAGAGGAGAGGAAACCCCTACCATAACTTAGGGAGCCTCAGTATACAGGTCTCAAGTCAAAGGCTGAAGGGTTTCTAAGAAGCAAGAGGGGAGACCACACGCTAAGAATGATAAGGACACAATGACAGGAAGGGCTTGCCAACAGTCACACATTTGTGCAAGCAATGCCCAAGTCAGGGAGGGATTCAGGCCTGGACTGTGGGAGGGGGGATCCTTCTCCCATAAAACGGGAGCCACCAGTTCTGTCTACCACACAGGATCATTGTGGGCATACACTGAATAAAGGTTATAAGTGGCTTTTAGAGATGAAAGAACCAGATGTGAATATTTAACATATGAATGAACGTCCCATACTTTTTTATTATGATCCAAAAAATGGTGGACTGTAACCACCATTTTACATCTTTATAGTACCTTACTTCAGGATGGGATAATTATCCTAATGAAAATAGCAGGTCAACACACAGCTTTAGTTCAATATACAGAGAATACGGTGAGATATTTTAGCTGATTTTCTTAAAAGTCAAAACATATGCTTGATGTAAAGTTTAGATCATCTTTCTTCTGAGTTTCTCTATGAGAAAACATGGTAAAATTTGTAATTCCATAAATTTAATGGATGAATTCATCAATTTGTTGACTTTTGAAGTCTACTGAAAATACTAAACATACAGAATTAACCATGTTTAAGTTATTCTTGTTTTCCTTAACAGGCATCCCAAATTCTTCTCTGAATTTTTATTTCTATCAAAAAAGAAAATGGAGATTATTTTCTTTATTATCATGGTTGCTACCCCAGTAGCAGAATCTTTCAAGATGCTGAGATGAAGACCTCAGTGGTTCTACCCTAGTAGTGATTAAAACAATCATGCAGAATGCTGAGAAAAATGATGGATTAGAGTTGAATGTACAGGGCCTGTGGTTATGTAATTCCATTTGAAACAATAAGTAAACATAAACCAGAGTGAACAAAAATCAAAATATCAAACAAATACATGCTATGCAAATAAGGTGAAGCAATGAGTACTGATATCAAAATTTTTAATTATGGATGATAGAAGATGGGAAGAAATTAAATGTGACCTTTAAAACAGGATAGAGTTTTTGGAGGGAGACTAGATAGTTTAATGGATTTATTAGCAAACTTAAGGAATGATGCAGATATTTCTCATGTAAAGAATCAAATCAACAGCAAAATAGAAGAAACTAAGTCATTTAAACAGACCTTCCCAGGACCTGATAGGTTTTACTTAACACATTAGTCAAGCAAAAAGTACTAGCAGCCAAAAGAAACATAAGAAATCTGGTAGTCAAGAATTCACACACTTTTATAGCAAAAAGAGAACAATGCAGAGTCCTCTTTACACATTTAACACTTCAGTCAGGCAGAAACGTACAGCCTTTACCAGGTCCAAGAGCCCGCAGCTCTCTATATACAGCTCCTGGTCACTACCACCAACTCCCCAGCCATGGGAACTGGTATCCAGGGCTCTGGTTTGAATCTCTGCATAGAAATTCAGAGTTCAGCCCCCGTCTACTTGCTGCTCTTTTGTTGCTGTTTTTAAATATGACTCTATGGTCTGCTCTGCTCAGATACAACAGAAAAACCCAAGGCCACACTGTCTGTCCTCTCCATATAGGACACCGGCCCTCTTATGAAGGTGGAGCTGTTCCTCTCATTCTTGAGGTACTCATCCTGTTCAAGTCTCATGTCCCCATGCCAGGCTGACTGGCCTGCTACTGTTGTTGCCACAGTTCCATAGCACATGGCACACTGGAGCCCAACTTCAATCCACCACCCATGTGCTCAGCCACTAGAGCCATGGCATGAAGGAAAGCCCCTCTGCAGTGGATGGCAGAAGGCCCCAGAACTCACTGGTCCTTTCCTTTTCCCTCTGGTCTCTCACTATCTTGGAAGCATAGCTTCTGACAAGCGCCCTATGTATCACAGGTGAACTGTGATCCCTACAGAGTATAGCCCCACTGTGGCCAGAGCTGGAAAGGGCCTTTAGTCCCAGGGAGTTTCCTCAATGTACAATGGTGTAAATATGCAATTATATTATTTTCCACATGTTGTCTGGTATGAAAAGGTCTGAAATACTGTTCCAGAGTATAATCTATGAATCCGATGGCCCCTGATGTTCCCAGGACTGGCAGGCCTGAAAGCTGTCCTGGGAACAAGAGCTTCATCACTCTGTTGTAGGAGTGACATCTTCGAAGCCATCCTCCCCATTTTTACCTTGCTGTCCAGCAGCCGGTGGTGATGAGGACACAGCATGAATGTGCTAAGGTCAGGGCTGCTGCACCAGAAAGATGTGTCTTGTGGACCCCACAGTAAGGAGCCCAGCAGAACACTTGCTTGCTACATGTCCTATTTCTCACACTCTGCTTCACTCTCTTATTTCTAGGCCCCTCACAGCAGCAGTCATAAGTAGCAGGTATTCTCTGAGACAAAAGGTCTAATTACCTATTGAAGAGTATCTTCCCTAATAATAAAGATGGGTAAGAAGACCTAGATAATGATGTTGGAGGAAAGGAAACTTCCTCCAACTTGGTAAATATCACAGCACTGACTTATCAGAGCTTACAGGCTTCCTCTTCCTACCAAAGAATGCTAAAGTTCATTGCGACTATCTCTGGTTTAGAACTAAGCAAATAAAGCTGCCTGTTAGAGGTATGTATGTTGACAAGAAGGCCACAATCAAGATCAAGACAGCTCCAGGATACTTCTGCAGTTGCCAAACTGTGGGTTCCCTTCCACCCTTTGAACAGGAGTCCCCCAAAACTCAGCCTTCTCACTACATCATTTCTCTTCCTTGATGCCTACTTAAGACAAGTGAGAGGCATGAGCGTCTCTGCTAGAAAATTCACCAATGTAAATTCACAAGACAAAAATACTGACCCAAGAAAATAAGTAGGAATAATGATGACCTCCCAATTGCACAGTCAAGTTAAGAGGAAAAAAGAGTACATACCATATAACTAAGGCTACAAACATGTGAAAACTGAAATTTTCATGTTACTACTTTGCAGTCAATAAAATAATTATATAGACACTGGGAGTTCAATGTTCACTCTTCCTGACCACAACATGGCAAGAGGAAAATGCTCTGGCATTCAGAAAATCCACATTCACCCCAAGGTCATGACTCACCAGCCCAGCCTGTCAGCCCATCATAAGGAGGGGCACTGGAACATACCTCCCAGTGTAAATTACCCATTCCAAAAGACACCTGTTTGGCAAGAGTCACTATACAATCTTCTCTGAGTAAACAGCACTTGCTAAATGTAAGGTGTACTATTGGATCACAAGATGAGATGGTTAAAGGAAAAGTATTTGTTTCAGCAAAGGTTGAAGTATCCAATTACCTCTCTCCAGGAATAGTGCTCATGTCTCTGTCACATTAGTTCTTTCTAAAAACTATTCCTTCTGGGGATGCTCTCCCTCCAAGACACAGAGTAACATAGGTACACAGACCGCTCTCCTCTCCTCAGTGGCTGAGGTTAGCAAAACAGCCCCAGGAAAAGCACCAGGAAACACTGGCTGCACAGTGATGACTACTCCAGGTAGACTAAGACTCCAAACAACCAACCAGGGTCTTTGTTTGGTAACTGATACAACATGCTTTTATACCTTCCCTGGATCAAAAGAAAAAAAAAATCCTTATGGCACAGTGATTAGCACACAGATTACCACTTTCAAATATAAAATCCATTTCTCCAAATTTAACTAAGGAATCTTTCCCTTTCATTGATATTTTATACCCCTCAAAAAAAAGTGAACTGGACTCCTTGAAGAAAAAAATCCAAAAGAGTTGAAAGTTTAATCCTTCTCCCTACCATCTCTCAGTCACAGGGTCACCACTATCTGTCACCTGCAGGATTCTGGAGCTATTTGTTCTCTCATCTCTAACAGAGTTAACAGGGTTCTCTAGACCCCACCATATGAGAAAGGTTTTGCAGATATTCTTAACTCTGGCTACCCCTTAAAATCTCCCTGCCTGCTTTAGGAAACCCCTCGAGATTCTGATTTAATTGGAGTGGGGTGGGAACCATACCAGATAATTCCAGTATGTCCTAAAATGACCCAGATGAAGATGTAATGTTTTCTTTCCCAGCTTCTCTACCTGACAGAATATTTACATGGGACAAAACTGGTGTACAGTAGAGCTAAAACCACCTGGTAATCATGTAGGATCCAAGATCAGTAGTCATCAAACAACTCTCCCTTTTGTCCATAAAGCGGGGGCAGTTAGCAAAACTTCTATATGAGCAGCACACTTGAATATTAAACATTCGAGCACACCTGAAGGAATCAAAACTCAAAACTACACTTACAAACCATTAAAAAATCTGAGCCATTGCAACCACAGAATAAGATGACTGCAATGACCAATGCACTCTTCACCACTGTCAACTTCCCACCTGGGCCCAGCTCCTCTGTGTCCTCACCACAGTGCAGGAAAGAGCCAGTCTTCGAGGTCATCCAGCAAGCTGGCCCTCTCCCACCTCCACACCACTGCTCAGCTCAGGCTCTAGGTCTTAACACGCACAAGCATCCTGCAGCAACACCCTGCAGCACTCTTTATCTGTTGACCCACAGACTGGAAAAGGCTCATCCCTAAGCAGGCAGAGGGAAGTAATTCCAGCAGACCGGAATTTGATTGATGTCCACGTTTAATAAGTTTAAAAGTCAACTTATTTACCAAAGTATAATATACCTCCAGAAAACTCCTTAATGCACAGATTAATGGACTTTTACAAAGTAAATTCATGTGGAACCGCCCCCTGCCCCGCCGCCCAGATCCAGAAGCCAAGCATTATGGCACCCGGAAGGTCCCTTGGCTCCCTTCTCAATCATTATTCCCCAATGTAACCACTATTCTTTTATTAGCCCAAATCAGCCTGCTTTTGAACTTTATGTAAATGGAATAACAGTATGCATTCTTTTGTGTATGGCTTCTTTTCTTCAACATTATGCTTAAGAGTTGTAAGTGGTACACATAGCTGTCATCTATTGTCGTCTGTCTTCCATTCTTTCTTATCTTTTCTTTTTCTCTACAGTATTTCATTACATAATATGCTACCTTATAAGCTTGGCATTTGGGTTGCTGTTTATAATTTGGGGCTGGTACGGTCAGTGTTTGGTGAGCATTTTTGCACATGTCTTTTCATACACATTTATAACCTTTATTTTCTGTTGTGCATATACCTTGTAGGTAATACACTGTGGTATGAACACAAGGACTGGCAAATACACTGATGTAACAATACAGATTCCCCAAACAGACCCACATATAACCAGTCACTTGTTATGACAAAGGGCCAATGCAGTACAGTGGAGAATGAGATTTTCAAATTAATGGTGCTGAATTAATTAACTGGATATTTATATATCTTGATCTGGAGAACTTTTTGCCTGGGCTGGCCTTAAACAGCAATCTCCCCAATCTCTGCCTTCCAAGTAGCTATGATTACAGGCTGCCTGGCCCTAACAGTATTTTTAATGCATAGAAAATTATTTATGGCAATATACATAAAACAAAGAAATCCTTAAAATAGCGCACATATTTCTTTCAAGAAACCATCAAATACTCCAAAGATAAACATTTCCTTAAAACTATTTCATTAGGTAGCCAATTACTTCCAAGATGAAAATGCCTAAATAATTCCATTGGCACTTAATATAAACTGCTAGCATAACTGAGAAATAACAATCTAAGCAACTCATTTTATTTTCTTCAAGAATAAACATTAAACCATAAAACAATTTGAAAATTTATATCTACTGTGCCCACAGGATACCAGAGTTTTTTCTGAGATAAAAAATAAAAGGTAGCAGGAAAGCATATGGGGAGAATCATATACCTTGTGATTCTAACAATAGCTGCAAATGAGGTCACTCATCCCTCTGTGGCCACACTAATTGGTCAAAAGTAACAGAAGCTTCATCAGCAATGCTCATAAATATAACCTACCCCTTCCTGGGCATTTTCAATTTAGAGACCAGACACCTGCTACCCATCAATCTTTCACAACCCACGGCTCATATCAACCTACTGCTACATTATTGGGTTAGCTCTTGATCTTTACTATTTATAAGCAGAGTCTTCAGAGTATGTACATACACAAGTAGAATGTGTACACATGCAGCTATCTATAGCAAAAAACAAACACAAAAAGAACTATCTGTAAGACCATATCGTATTCTATTAATAACCATATACTGCAATATTACATAACAATTTTTTTCCAATTCTGTTATGCTAATATGCAAATAAATGAACTCAACCATAGATAGGAGCTAAATGTACTAATCAGTATGGTCTTGTGTATCTCTAACTACAAAAGAATTTTATATGTTCTCTCTCTATTCTGAAAAATCCCATGAATCTTCATGATTAATTACTCTTAAGCCCAGCTGCTTAGTTTCTGGGATTTTAATACTTCTAGTTTTCAAATCAGTGTATTTAGCGTACTCCAAGAAAATACCTGAATACTGAATTCATAGTAAAGGACAATGGGAATAAAAAGGTCCAAGTCCTGATCTGTGGATCAGACAGAAACCTGGGCAGAGTAGCCAGGACCATGGCTTTGGCTTCATATCCTAAGTTACACATAGCCTCCTCCCAAGATTTAGCCACAAGAAGACAAATTCTTCTCATTAGAACTTAGTCATCTATTTTAGAACTGATAGAAACTTCTAAGGTTAAGGAGCCAGAAGGGCTTAGACAAACAGGAGGAAAAAAAGCAAAAAATAAGTTTCAGAACAAGGAGTAGATGGCAGTGGTAAAGCAGTCAAAAACATGGACTTTCAACATATCCAAGCTTGCTCTCAATGTTGGTTTTGCCTCTTCCAAAGCTCTATGACCTTATTTGAAGATTCTCACTTTATGGAACTGGTTTCCTTGTCTGTAAAGAGAATGTAGTGTCTCCTTGCAGTTTCTGGTAAGAGATGCAGGAAATGGTGGACAGAAAACATTTCTTTGTATTTCTTCTTTATCCAATCCTTGTTTCACAACAAAGGACAGAATTCAAAGCATAATAAAACAAAAAAAACCGCTGAGGGATTAGAGACACACTTCTACAGCTCTGTGGATTCATACTCTAAAGTCCTCAGGTATTTTCTTCTTTATTATCAATTCACAGCACTCCCAATTAGTATCTTTTGACAGTCCAATATTAATGCCACTAAAACATGTAATTTAGTTCCTTAAAAATAAACAAAAAACTAGCAAGCGTGAGGCCCTGGGCTCAACCCCCCAATACTGCAATAAAAGTAATAAGCAAAACTGTGTAGCTTTGTATAGTGATACATGTCATGTGTAGTGACATGTGTCTCTTAAAGAAACAAAATCCCAGAAAAGATACTAGTGCTGTAATGAATAGTAACACTCTCTTGACATACTTTTTAAAACTTTGATAGCAAAATATAAATCAAAAGAAAATTTCAAAGGTCCACTCATTTCAGGAGCATAAAACATTTAACATCATTTAACATGTTGGAGAAAATTCTAGAAGAAAATCCAATCTCCTGGATCCAACTTTAAATGAAGATATTTCCTTCCCTCTGATTGTCTCCAAACTTATGTACATGAGATAAATTTCTTCTTTGATGTACACAGCCCACTGAGTTCTACATTTCAATCGAAACCCACTGAAGTGACACATAACACCATCTTCATCAGACCCATAAGATGAGCTGTCATTCATCTCTGCTTACTCATTCACTCACACATTTGTTCCACAAATACATACTTAATGCATGCTGTCTGCAAGACATTAAACTAGGTGTTTTCACAAACTCGAGGTGAATAAAACGCAGTTGCCTATGAAGGAGGTGGGGCAGTATGGAGGTACTGGGAGACTGGTGATTGGAAGGCAGGAAAAAAAAAAGCAAAAAACCCACTTCATTCTAAGTGGGAGGTGATTATTTGAAGAACTCAGACATGACTAGGAGAAATTCCAAGCAGAGAGGAGAAAGGTGTAAATGTAAAGTCCAAGTTTTGGCACAGAAGGCAGTCTCCTGAGGCTCCAGCAGAGGTTACAATGGCATCTGTGAAAAGAAGATTACAAGTGAGGTGGCCATATTTTTTATCATCCAAACGGGGACACCTTTGAGAATAAAAGGAGGTACTACTAATAATTTGGTCATGACAAAAGATGTAAATCTGAATTTTCCTGGGCAAATCAAGACAGATGGGTACCTGGCATGATGATGAAATTGATGTACATGACCCTCTGGTCTCACAGCGAGGGCTATTTACACATGTGCTCAGTTGTACTAAAGCATCAAATTCAGAAAGGTACCTAAAAAAATAGTTCCTGAGAGCAATGGGGAATATATCATACATCTGGGAAATTCCTCTGGCCACATTCTGCATATTTCAAAAGGCAAATCCTCTAAAATGGTTACAACAGTACTAGTGATCTCTAATTCAAATGAAATTAAAGGTGGCTGCTTATCTCAGGCTAACCTCTTGAGAGACACTGAAGATCAGAAAAGCATACTGGATAACTCATACCTAGTGCTGGTTACACGCCACACTGGTCACACATTGTCTCACTGAATCTTAACAATGGCATGAGAGGGGGTTTATTCTACCCATTGTAGAGATGGGTACTTAGGCATACAGATTCAGTATCTTACCCAAGGCTCACAGAAAGGTTATAGGGAAGTGAGGCTCTAATCCAAGCAACTAACTCCTGACCCTCTGTTTTTCCCTCCACTCTCCCCTCCTGAATAATCTAAACATACAACATGTGGTCTGAGTGCAACCCTCGACTCCAGGGAGCAAGCAAGTTAAGATAATTAGCTAAAACACATTTTATTAACTAGTCCTGCCTTGTGACCATGAGGGCTCAGTTGCTTGGCCTGCTCTGCTGCTCTGGAATGCATAGGTGACAAGTGTCCCACCAGCAAGCTGAACCATTCTCACAATCACTGAGGCTCAATGCAATTAATTCTATACTTTGGGAACTCTAAAGCTACGGAGTTATCCTGACACAGGAAAAACCTGTATGACTCAAACATCCCCAATGACTCTAGCTTCAGTCTGACACTCTCATGCCAAGCACAACCTCCTGATTCACCACTATTATCAGTAGAAAAAAGTAGGTCAGAAAACTTGCAAACACAGTTCCAGATCCTGTGGCCCACTACTGAAAAATGTTTGAATCCACTAATAAAGAACAAAAGGTAGGTAAAGTAATCCAGAAATCTGGTAGAGGAGTAAATAATGCCAGCCTTAGTAATCATAAGGAACAGAGCTTTTATTTTTGGACACATATGTATGAAGTCTAAAGAGAAACGAAGTGGCTGATATCAGCAATTAATAAAACAATTTCTCATCAGCTGCCTTTATAAATCTGCTGGTAAAAAATATTACAAATCAAATACAAATATTTGGGGGGAAGCTTGGAAAAGAAGGAAAGGAAAAAAAGCAAAAGAGGACCAGTAATTTTAGTGTACGAAAATTAATACACTGTGATTATTTTGGAAACTGAACTCTGACGAAAGCTCTTTGAGTGGACTGAGACAAGCAACCATGCCCTGACATTTCAGCAGTTGTCTCAAGGGTCTGAAATGCATTACACAAAGTCAGATAGAGAACCGCTGATCGGCCATTGGATTCCTCCCGCCTAATGATCCATCAGGATCTGCCTATCTATCCAGACAGCCACATTCTGTGATTCAGCTACTGTCTGTTTAACATTATGACAGGTCCACAAGTTGACTTGGCATGAGGTTGTCTTTGTTTCTCCCTATTCAGGAAAAACAAATCTAAAGTCCAATGCAGATATTAAGATCCAATTAAAAAAATAATTACTGAGTGCTTGATATCTGTGCAGAACTGGTAAAGTTTTTGCCTACAAAGAACATAGTTTATTTAAACCATGGTCAATATCATACATATATGTAAATTTTTACTATTAAGCTTTTACTATTTTGTTTGAGCCTGCATAATACAGGTGAAAAGCCTGCTTGATCTCCATGCTGGGAGAACTCAGCATCAAGATATAGGTATATATGTTGGTGTAAAGATAATAAAAGTATTTCTCATATAAGACATGATAATGATAATACCAAGAGTAAGAAAAATAAGGGTTGCCACTTTGGGCAAGGTCAGACCACTGGTCACGGTGAAGCTGGAAGGCCTGGTCAAGTAGTCACACATGTGACAAAACAGCTGCCTGGCTATATTATCTGTCAACTTCTTCTGCCAGGAGAAACGGGGATTCTTTTTCCCCTAGCAACATCCCCTACACTTAAAGGAGAAAATCAAGTCTGGGGTTCAAAACTACCAATGCTCCCCTCCTTACACAGAAAGTTGAAATGGCCAGCGTAATTTAGAGGGCAGAGGAGCGCAGGTTCAGGAACCAGTCCCAGCTCTGTGGGGGCGTGGTTAACCCCTCTCAACTCTGCTTTCCTCCACCCCTGTGGTTGGTGCAGGACCCAAGTCAGAGAATTAAGCTTAGGCATGGCACTTTTCACGTGTTTTGCACATAGTGAGAAGCTGAATAAGTGGTGGCTACTATTACTTCTTCTAAATACCAAACAATGCAATGGCTTTATTTCCTACATAGTGAAAATGACCCAAGATCAACAGTGCCATAGTCTGGGGAAGTGGGGTAGGGAGACTACAAAGAGACCTGGGGGTAGGCGATGAGATGAGGGCACTGCTCTGTATCTTGATTGTGGTGATTATTATGTGACTCTGTGTTTTTTCAAAGTTCACAGAACTAGACACCAAGAGCAACCTTACTGTATGCCATCATACCACACTTCTAAAAGCTTCAACCAAAGTATTCAATTAGCTCTGATTAAAACAAACCCTCCAACTAATATAGACATTTTAACTTCATTTATTTCTAAAAACAAAGAGAAATCTATGGCCTAAAATGGTAGCTCATATTTTTAGACTAAGTTCTTGAATTCAAAGATGGAACTATTTATAAAAAAAAAAGGAATCATCTGAACAATTAACCAAATTAACTACTTCATAATAAAGCATAGACTGTATTGAATACTATGACAAAATGAATTATGGAAAGAGAAAATGAAAGTGATGTTTACTAGACTATTTAAGATGATAAACATACTGGCTTTCTTCCCTAAAAATCCAGTAATGGGCCTTTGTAAATAATCTCAAAAACATACTGTTACTTTCAATAAGCTAAAGAAAAGTAGAGAAGTCTGGTGATGATATCCATAACTTATTTACCATCTTAAGGAGTTTGTAAAAGGTTCTAAGGCTGCTCACACTAAGTTTTCATCAGCACTGTTACCATACCCAAGGAGCTTCTTTTAGTATAGATCTGTGCATTTATTTTGGAAAAAAAATGTAGTTTTTACAACAATTTCTTACTGAGTGCCGTATTTATAAAACAGATGGAGTAACAGAAAGGATTTTAAATGGGAAATGTAATTCTGGTCAGCCTGCACTGTAATCCCACACATTCACAACAACCTCCTTTCTTTACCTACCATTTATCCCATTTAATCCTTTCCTCCCCTGATTTACGGATTCCCACACAAAGGGATGCTGAAATTGGAAAGAAAATAGGAAACAAACAAACAAAAATAAGCATGAGCCTGACTTTTCAACTAATACAACCCCATAGCTACTCCTCAGCATTTTCAGCAACTTCCTAGTCACCACCCTGCTCACTAACTACTCCCACCTCTACTCACAGACTACTTGACTGCACTCACTCCTTAGAATCCTTTAAAAGAACACAAGGAAGTCAAGCAACAACGTCATTATTGCCTTTTCACATGGCAATAACAAAATGAAATATAATTTCTGCCACTTATGTGACAAAAATATCTGCAGTATTCACTGCTTTATGAAACCCGACATTAAACTAAAAGGTTTCTTTATTCTGTAAGATGTTATGCTGTATGTATGTCTTTAGAAAATACTGCATTAAATTCCTAAAATCTTAACGCTTCAAGTCACTGATTTAAGGAGAAACATTACAGGTAGTACCTGACTAAATATAGCGTCCCCTCTTTCTTACAACTTTCAGCACTACTTCTAGAATTTTCAAGAGTGGTTAGGAAAATGCAAGTTGAAAATAAAGACAAGGAAAAGGAATCTGTTAGGTCATCTTACGAAGTACAAGATATGAGATTGGTAAATCCAAAACCAAGGCTGTTTTAGAGAACTTGGAGAAAACATGCACTTCCTAATGAGTCTTCTTTTCATGCAGTGAGCAGTTTAATGAGCCTCTACTGTGTTCCTGGCACTGGTTATCTAGGGGTATGGTGATGAACAGGAAACCAAATGCCTACACTACAAAGAAGAAAAATGAAAACATCTCTCCGAAACTTTCAGAATTCAAGTATCAACACTATTTCCCAAACAAATGATTTCTGAACAATTAATCATTTCCCCATGTCAGTCTACAGCCATTAATGAAATGACATCTACTGACAAATTCTCCATTCCACAGATCACAAGAGATCTTCACAAGTGTTCCTTCTTCCTTATCTCCCATGAGTGTAAAACCGAGAGAGATGTCGCTGTGTAGGCTGCTAAGTTACACTACAAATCCCATTATGGACACCGATATCTTAAATGCAAAATCAGGTCCTCAAAACTGTGGGTAGGGGGGGGTTAAAATTGCATAGTCTGGTGTAGTCTCTGATATACTCATCTCACATTTCATTAATACCACAATGCAAAATCACCACCAATATGTGGTGACCAACAAAAACAGAAATGTCACATAACCCTGCAAACAGGATTATCATGAACAGTTGAAAACAACTTTCATGAAAACATACAATACATAGGAAAAGAAAATATTTGTCACTAAAGCCTACATACACAGCAAAAAGACTTTCCTTTCCTTAATTTAAAGGTAAGCTGCAGGTGGGTAACAGGCTTGATCTCCAAGTCCGTCGATTGTGCCTTGTCCAGACATAAACTACACAACACATGACAAAGCGAAATGCGGCTTCACAACTGCCTCTTACATAGAGTAGCAAGTACACTGCATTTCACTCGATGGCTGCAGAAGTTGGTAACACCAGAAGACATCTGCACAGTAGTTGAAGACTTCTGGAGGTCCCATTACATTTCAAATGCCACCATTGCCAACTGTCTCCAATGTTGACCTGTTCTGACTTCTCCCGCAGGTTATCAGCCACGGGAAGGATGGGTGCAGCCCTGTGAACATGTTTTGCTATTGCTGGCTGTCCTTAACAACCCCTTTGTTTTTCAGAATGCCACATTTTCGTATTTGCTCCAAACATGAGGAAGCCAATGGGCTAGTCTTGCCCAAGGCTCTGCTCTTCTTAACTCATCAACTTTTTTTTTTTCTTCACTTCATGTCACGAGCGACATTTTTATGGTGTAAACCAAAATGTAATACTAGAATGAAGCCACCACAAACTGTTACTTAATCTTACTTCTGGGGCTTGAAACGTACAAGACATGCTTTCTTCCGATAAATAACACCATGTAAAAAGATCTCAAAACCCAAGCAGAGTCCAACAGGACTTCACAGATCTGGGAGCCCGTCTACCACAGCCAGGAAAGGATGAATCGTGCGGAACTGTAGTCTCTCTGAGCCTCAGAAAGCGGAAATCTGCATTTGTGTTCAGAAACCTACTCCATTGCTGCCTGCCCCTGAGTGAGGGGAGGCTCTGCACTGTCCAAGTACAACCATTTGCAAGAGGTACCCAACTACAATGTAGGTCAGAAGAAACCATTTAAAAATCTCTGCCCATTGCCTGGGATTTTTTAACAAAATCTCTTCACCTAACCCCTCGCTGTCTTGAAAATACAACAGAAACCTTGCAGGGAGCCTGTCACCAGCCTAGGCTACCACTGAAAGGCTTGCCTAACCAGGCAAGGTACAAGGCCCTCACTGCAAGCCAATCCCCGGGAGGGGTGACAGCCCCAAGTTACACTGGGGACCTGTGAGCACAGCGCCCTGCACAGCCATAGCCGGGGTCGCCCCTCCATTCTTTTCAAATGCCATTTGCTTGCCATCCCTTGCTCCTCCACTCCAAAGCCCCGAAAGCCACCCCTCCCTCCGCCACCACGTCCCCAGGGAGTGGAGATGAAGGGGGGTGAGAGGGAAGGGACCCCCAAGGCGCCCCTCTCACCTACCTTGATGATGCTGCTCCGGCGGGGCAGGCCGCCCGGCTTGCTCTCCCGGGGGAGGGGACAGACGGCTGGACTGGTTGTCGGGGCGAGCGCCACGCCACGGGGTCCCCTGGCCGGACTGGCCGGGGTTTCATCCCCGGACACGCCGAGGCTGCAGTCTCCGTTGGAAACCCCGCCGCTGTCACAGCGCGCCCGCCCGTGGCCGAGGCGACCTCCGCCGCCGCCGCCGCCTTCCCCAGCTCCGGCTTTCAGGGCGCCCTTGGCGCCGAGGGCCGGGCCCGGGGAGGTGGGCAGGGCCCCGCCGGCGGCGCCCCCCCGGCCGCACTCCGCCATGGGCGCCCCGCGACCCGCCTGCACAAAGCCGCGTCCCGCGTCCCGCGTCCCCGCTGCCGCCGCCGCCGCCGCCTCGGGCCGCCGCGCGCGGCCCCTCCTCCTCGCCGCCTCCTGCCGCCGCCGCCGCCGCCTCGGCCGCTTCTTCCGCTTTTCTCTCTTTCCTCTTCTGCCTGTGCTTTTTTTTTTTTTTTTTTTTTAAATTTAGAGGTGATGGTTGCTCGAGGCTCGCCGGGCGCACCGTCCGCGTTGCGGCGGCGGGGTTCTCGGAGGATTCCTGCAGGGGAGGAGAAGCGAGGCACAAGTCAGCTCGGGCGGCACCTGGGGAAGGAAAACACGCCCCGACACACGCGCCGCTGCGGGCGCCAAAAATAACCGCGCGGCCGCGACGCCCACCGAGCCCCGCGCTCGCCCGACGCTTGCCTCACGCGCGCCCAGCGGGTCGGCCCTTAGGACTCCGCAACGCGGCGGCCACGAAGACACGACTCCCGCGAGTGTCCCCGGGTCCCCGAGGCTGCCGCGTGCAGAGCCCGGTCACGTTTTCCTCAGGGTCACAACGGAAGCCCGCGGTAGTCCCTGGGCCGTCTGTCATGCGACCCCGGGGGCAACCCCCCTGTCACACACTCCCCGCCCTCCCCGCAACTTAACCCCGCGCCTTTCGCCTCCCGAGCTTGGCGCTGCCCCCTACAGGCTGCCCCTAACCCACGGCGGGCCACCGTCGCGGCTGCAGTCGCCCTGGCTGGGCATCCGGCCGCTAGGACCTCGCTGTCCAGCAGACGGCAGCTGCAGGTCGGTCGTGGATAACACCCCCCCCCCCACCGCCGCCCCAGCAGCTGCCGCAACTGCCAATCACCCGCCCGGAGCCCGGGGGCCCAGCCCTGTCCCCCAGCCCCGCACGCGGAACTCGTGCCTTTCAGGCCAACCCCAGCAAAGGCCGGGAGGACGATCCCCTCTGGGCTTCCCAGCCGGGTCAGACCCATTCCACATTCTGGAACCCGTGCCGCTCCGCTCCCTTGGCTCCAGAACTGCACTGTGCAACTGGTTGCCAGGATGCTGGGGCAGGAGGTGAGGGGTGAGGGCGTCAGCAGAGCCTATCCTGTGCCCTCCGGGTCGATCCACTGAGATTTAGCACTGCTGACCCTCCTTGTCACTGTCCTTCCTTGATTCTGCCTGCTCCCACTCGGGCTCTCTTGGCTTCAGCCTCCTGCCCTGTTCTAGAGGCTAGTTCTTCTCCACTGGTGCGCCTTCTTTACTGGGAATGCACGTTCCGCAGGGTTGAACTGAAAAGACCTTGCCTTCATTAGCACCGTGTGGTAGCAGCCTGCAGAAGCCTCTGAAGAAATGGCTTTACATGCATATGCATACCCGCCCTGGCCCCAGAAGCAACATCAGATACTTTGCTGTTATTCTTGGGGGCGTTTTTCATTCTTCTGGTCCTCTGGATTCCTATTTTTGTAACTCATCACAAAAACTTTTATATATCTCTTGCCAACCTGGGCCTACACACTAACAAGATACTTTTGTAGGGATAGACAACATTTGAAAACGTTATCCAGTGCCATCCCTTTTTTCTTTATCTAGTTTCGTTTCAAAATAATGTTTTCTGTCTTGTGATTTTTTTTTTTTTTTGCAGAAAACACATTCAAATCATTCGATCAGGTTCTTAATTTGCCTTATCAAATTTATAGTCATAATAGCCTGTGAGTATACTGTGAGAGAGGAAAGGCAATGCTGGGGCCTTTATTCTTGAAGTTCTCTAATTTCGATATTTTGAATAATCACCTGGAGGGATCCCTGCCCTTTCTGCAGTCATATTCAATCCTGTCTGCATTTACCAATCCCCAGTAAAATGCACTGATGGCCACAGATCCTGAAATTCTTTACCTGGGCTGAGTAGACAAACATATTGAGATTTAAACATCCAGGGTGATTTGTACAAAACCACCATGGAATTTGCCAGTGCCCTCCAAAATGAGCATCTATCCATCTCACTCTAGACTTCCAACAGGTCAAACCAGGGAGACTTCGTTGAAATAAATTTGGCATTTAAATTAAAACATTTCCCAAGGCATTTTGGCAGACCTGAAACTAATGATGCCAGCCGCCCAAGGCCTGTGCCAGGTCCCTTTTTATCCCCTTAAGTGCTTGTCTCCCACAAGCCGCTGGTGTTATAGCTATACTTCTTCATAGCACAAACAGCCCAACGGTAGGTACCATTTTTCAGATGTGGTCATAGGAAGCAGAGGGTTCCTCTGACATGTGCAACTCTTGGCTTCCAACAGGCTTTTTAATAAGCTAAACTCTGATATTTTTTTTCATCACAAAGAGCATAGTAAGCGATTGTTTTTCCTCTTTCCTGCTTGTGTCTCTGCAGTTACTAAGTGATTACTTTCCATTTCTCCTATTCCATGAGCAATGTTATTAAAGAAATTGTAAATAGAATGCCAAAATGCTTGCTGAAGTGTTTTCATGGCATTGTGAAATTCATAGAAGTTAAAGTTAGAAAAAGAGCCAAAATATCATAATCATTCCTCAGCAAGTACTGTTTAGTGGTTTCTTCATACTAATTCTCAGAGTAAGGCAATAAAAGATAGGCGTAACGTTAATACAGCTCACTTTATGGATAATTCCATGGTGCTCATGTCAGTTTATGATAGCTCTATACTAATGGCTAGATTCTGATAAGTGAGTTGTTCTAACATTTAAAGTCAATAGGTGCCTTTACAATCTCATTCTGTTGTGTCAGCAATACACAGCTTTATCTCTCAGGCTTGCTTCACATTTCTGTCCATCTAAGCTTTTAATCATTGTTGCCACTCTTCACCAAACTGTCTTCCATTTGTTTGCATCACTAATTTGATGCCTAGAACTTGAGCTATTCAGGCTCCCTGGTCCATAATAGCCTTATTTCAGCTTCCCCAAATAACACAGGCACTGTTTACTGACTTCTTGCCATCATTTATACCCTTGTAGGTTAAGAATTTCTATCTAGTTTCCAATTCATAGGCACTAACATTATGACTCTCCAAATTTTTCTGACTCACTTGGCCTTCAGATTATTTCCTCCATCAATGTATTATGACAATTTTCATTTCCAAAACCTAGTCTCATCTTACTTCCTGTATTTTTCTAAAGGTGCAATTTAACCCTGTGACCCTTCATATTTGACTGCTCCCCATATGCTTACTGTGAGAGCTAACTAGAGCAGAAAGGAAAATATCAAAATGCTTCGAAGAAGTAGCAGACTAAATCAAAGTACTGGTCCATACTGGCTTTACCAATTTGCTTCCTGACTCAATCCACAATGTTGATTTTTAATCTTTTATGCTGCTACAGTTTAGATTATATTCGTTTTATTCTGATCCTTAGCAAAAAGAATTTTGTAGCAATCACCTTTCTTCCTGGGCACTAATGTGGCAAGTTGGACCTGCCAAAAGCTCTCATTTCCATATTCTCAGTCTTCTTTAGCACTAAAGATCCTTCACCCATTTTCCTTGGATCTGTCTTGTACAAGTGTACATGGCTGCCAAGAAGCTAGGCACTCAGAGAATTACATCCATGCTTTCCAGCCATTAAGAAACTACATCGTGAATTCATTAAATTTTTTCAGGGGCTATTGAATTAGGTAGCACTTTGTGTGTGTGGGGGGATCTATTAATTACTGGGGATTCAATAAACTTATTCCATCAACAAAAGTAACAGTACAGTAGTCTAATATGATTCTCTCTAAAATAACTGTTGTTTATCACGCTACTTTTGTAAATTGTCTCTCATATAGCTGAGTATATTCATTATTTTATTACAGGAGTCATTGGTCATTGCAAATTTAAATGCCTATGGAGGCCAAGTAAGTACTATAATGAACGAAGCTGGAGGAATTTGTTTCATAATAACATTATAGTTTTTCAACAGTGATATACTTTGCATATCAAATACAGAGGAATACTTTTCCTGATTCATCTTGATTTTTCTGATTTTCATAGATCCTTAATACAAGAAATACTTTTCTTTCAACTCTAAAAAAGATGTGTAACATCCTGGTAAATACAGCTGCCACTCAGCCAGTGTGGGACAGCAATATGCACTGGTAGGGACTTGGGTAAGTTGGTGAGGAATCTAACTGCTGCCATGAGGGATTCCTGGCCCAGTGCTGCCAGGATCATTTTATTTTTCCAGAGAAGCCAGAAATCTAGAATATAAAACTTGTGATTTTGTTAGTTCACTTTCTTAAGTAAAGGACATCGATGAAATTAGACAGTGGTATATTATTCTTCATAAGGTTTACAGAAAGGCCTGTTTTTCCCCTCTTGCACCTCCAAAGTGCATGATAAGCAAAGCTTAACAAATGTCTTCTAAATTTTGCATTCCTTTGGGTCATGCTGTCAACCTGATTTTCAAAGACAGATTTATTTTCATGAGTTTTAGAAGTTGAATATTTGATGACCATGTCATCTCATACATTGCAATGTATGTGTTGCTCCCAACTTACTTCCCTTCATCTACCCACCCCACAATCCCAACTTAGAACTGTCTCATCTCTGAAATGCAAAAACTCTGAGCTCCACTGTCTAGCCAGAAACTCTGACATTTCATCAGTCCAGTTCCTTTTATTCCCCCAGACCCACCTGCCTGTCTTAGCATGGCCTATACTTCCTGTACCCCATCTCATTCTCTCGGTCTGTCTGTCCACACTCGTATTGTTTTTCCCCACCCAGTCTGGGCCTCATGATTAAAGCTTCCAACCACATTCTCACTAGCATCCTAGATTTCTCATCTTTATCCTTCAGTGCCCATCTCACCAATCTAAAGCTTTACACATACATTCAACTGTGGATTTCTATATACATACGCTGGGCTGCCACTCTGCTGAAGAAAAAGTTTTCTAGCCAGACTTTATTACAAGTGTATGATTTCTGTCTTCAGTGGGGTCTTTGGTGTTGTTAGGCAATATTTTGCCACTTGGTGATATGCACAGTCTTCATTCTTCAAACTCTCCCAACCTGCCTGCTAGCCATCCATCTCAGATGTCTGAGATTCTACTTCTTGTGAGAAGTAGAATAATAATAAACTGCCTCAAGAAATAAACTGCTTTAGCTTTTTCTCCACTCTGCTCATCCTTACTCTGCTAACCATCTCTGCTGTCCAAGGTTAGCCTTGAAGAAATCATTTGGGTATGCCTCATATGATTATTGGACTCTTTGTTCTAATATGATTGAACCAAGTTTTCTTACCCTCTTGTGGGTAGAAGGAGAAGTGGGGTCTCCTCCTCCCAAGAGACTATTCCCAATGTCCACCATACAAGAACAGGAAGAAATCAGGGAGGGGTTTTGGAGGCAGCCTTGGACCACCTTCCCTTGGATCTGATGTCACAAAGCATTGAAAGATACATGCTCCCAAAGGGGCTAGGAGATGCAGCTGAATTCTGGATGTTTGCCTAGCATGTACAAGACCCCAGAACCAAAAGTAAAAAAATAAAAATAAAGTGCTCCAAAGGTGCTCCAAAGCAATGAGGAGAAAAATAGGGCCTCCAAGAGCCAAAGGGAAGATGTTGTCTTCATTAGAAGCCCCATAAGACTAGGGCTTTGGGCTCTGAGGACAAGCCAGTTTAGAGGTGCTGTGTGATGCAATTCTCCAGCATTGTTAATAAAGAAGGGTTATACCATCTGGAAAAAAGGGATGGTCTCAAGTAACACCTTCACTCTCCTTGGCTTCACACCAAACTTCTATCTAAAAAATATTCTATTCTCTCTGATTCTCACTGCTTTTTCCATTTTCAGCCTGTTGTGATTTGGTTTCTGTCCCTTTATATTGAAACTGCCCTCCCAAGGATCCTGGTTTACATCCTAATTAACACAATCAATGGCTGTTTTTTGGTTTCAACCTTCACAGAACATTTGACTCACTGAAGAACTCAAAATCAGTCCCAACTCCTGGTATCCCTTACTCCAGGGAACTACTGAGGCATTATAAATCAACCTAGAAAAATCTCCCAAACTCATTCCCACCAGAAGGGTCTGTTTACAGTGTCATCACACTTTGCTCAGATGACTGCAATTGCCTCCTAACCTG